CAAACTTTCGAATGAAGTTTATGTAATACGCGGTAATAATCCCATGATAGGGATACGATAGCAATTCACCAATAGTGAGAGATAAGGCATGAAAATCATATCCTGGGCCAAGATTCCTGCCTTGCTTACCGGAATGAATAATAGAATAACTTTATTTACATCTGCCGTGAATTGAAGATCCATTGAAGCATAAATACCAGTCTACTGGTATTCTCTTGAGGAATACAAAAGGTGAAAGTAAAATGTCTCTTACGTTATGGATGTAGATATCCATGATTTTACACACACATGGACACATATATACTTACAAACAAATGCACTTATGGATATATGCATACACACTCACACGCACATGCACATACATACATATACATGTATACATATACACACACATACATCATCATCATCATTGGGGGGCTAACGCCTGTAGGGGCGCATAGCCGCGTCTACCCTTCGCTTCCACCTGCGAGGGTCTCTCATGGCAAGCCGCCAGGCAGGGGCCCGGCCCATCTCTAGTTCCTCACGACAGGTTTGATCGATCTGCCCAAGCCACGACCTTCTCGGTCGTCCCACAGGCCTTCTCCACCCAGGGTTGTCCCGAACAGAGACAACCTGATGGGCAGGATCATCCTGCGGGAAGCGAGCCAAGTGGCCATATAGCCTGAGTTGGCGATCACGGATTGTGCAAGAAACAGGTCCTGTACCGGTCTCGCGGTGTAGCTGTTGGTTGGACACATGGTCCCGCCAACTGTACCCCATGATCCGGCGCAAGGATCTGTTACAAAAGGCATCAAGACGAGATTCCAAAGCACAAGATAGCGTCCAAGTTTCACTACCATATAGTAAAACTGGCAGTATCAGGGCCTTGAAAACTCGTAGCTTGGTCCTTCTGCACAGGTACCGGCATCTCCAAATACTCTTGTCGAGAGATTTCATGACCCCTGCTGCCAGGCCAATCCGTCTACTGACTTCCTGGTCTGACAGCCCAGAGTCATGAACTGCACTACCGAGGTATATAAAACTCCTTGTGACTTCGATGTTTTCACCGCAAGCACGTACCGACTGCACAGGGTCTCCTAGTAGGCCCCCAAAATCCTGGAGGCAGCAAGTTAATTAAGGAAGATTCACCAGTCTGCGGGCGTGGACATCAGCGGAAGGAAAGACAATTCGCGCCGCTGACCAGTCCATCTGATGGCTTGTGCCCCACTGATGGCAGAAGAGGGCGTTGTTGTTGTGTCCCCTGGATACAGCGTATTTATTTTGAGACGGATTCGATAAAGTACTGTTTATCGCAGGAGGTACAAGGCAAGGAACAACATAGGCGTCCCACTTTCGAGGTTGTGGACCAGATTGCGACGGAAAGTGTTCACCTAGCGAAAGATAAGCCTGCATTTGAGAGGGCAAATAGGACGACAGAGAGAGTAAATGTCCTCACTGTAGGGCAGGTGAGGAGTCTCTTTAGGGAAGGAGTCGATCTCTCCATCCAGGTATTGGGGGTCACAGATGCGGAGGGACAGCGAGGTGGCAACACCTTTCTTTTGCATGAGTGGATGGAACGAGTAGTTTACACACACACACATATACATATGCATAGATATATAAATATATATACATATATGTGCACGACATATATGAAGTACATTATATATATATATATATATATATATATATATATATATATATATATATGTATGTATATGTATGTATATATATATATATATATATATATATATATATATATATATATATATATATATATATGTATATATATATATATATATATATATATATATATATATATATATATATATATGCATGTATGTATATTTCATGATCTTATAAGTAAAGGCTGGTTTCATAACTTGCCTTTACTTCGTTTCATATATCATATACTCCTCTGCCCTGGCGCCACCGAAGCCGCTTGGTCCTGCGCTGCCGTACGTCCCTAACAGGCCATTCGCTTCACTGATTACATTTCAATACGCAATTATACCCCAGAGTGACCGGCGAATATCTCTGCGGCTTCGGGTTCCTGGAGCTGGCGTCGAACTGAGCTCTTCAAGCCCCGTCAGGCTTCTTTTACGTCTGTTGTGAATTTATTTTATTCTCAGTCTTAACTTTTTATCCGAATGAAATATAAAGTAACAGAATTGAAAGAAATCAAATGTGAATGAGAACTTGTAAATCATAACGATTTATATTTTATTCCCTAAGTCAACTTTTCATATTTTTTCGTCCTTTTATGATTAGCTATTGCATATGAAAATGTTATGAACTTCATTTACTTCCTTATTCTACGCAGACTAATTATGTAAAAATATTTTCACAAGTCTTTCAAGGCCTTTAAAGGCATTTAAACTTAACTGAAGTTTGCTATAATATAAATATCTTTTAAATAATTAAGTGTCTTCAAATAGAATATTTTTATGCTATGTTTGTTTCTGCTGTTAAGATAATACAATGTATTTACTACAATATGTTTTTTATTTAATAATCTTGTATTCTATTTAATCTAAAAACATGAAAAGATCTTATATCTAATTAGAAATTCATCATTTTAGGGTAATTAGATTCATGATGGTGCATGTAGGTCGTAGTTGCAAGAAGAATATGTTACAGCAGACCTCAAGCAAAGTAATCAATTCTGTATGTTATGGAAATAGTTAATTGGCCAGCGCACGGGTATTTTTATGAAATAAAAGCTTAAG